TGGAAACCAAGGCTGTTTCCATCCTCACGTTGTGGGTGTCCGTCTTCAGACGGTGATGTCATGGGGTCAGTGCGAGTGGCATCTGGTGTAATTTATCTATTTGACTCTCCCTCACCCTCTCAACTGTGTGCCCAAGAGTGCTTGCAGCAAACATGGCAGCTCCTTCCTCTGCGCCATGCTTCTCGCCACCTGCCAGCCTGTGATCCTCACTATGGAAAAATTCGGACCATTTATTCCCAACAGGAAAAGGGAAATGCACAGAAGGCAACAGAAGAAAACTATGTGGGAAGAGGGCTGAGGAAGGGAAGTGTTCTGTTGATATTAAATTACTCCCCCAGCACTGCAGTGAGTACCATGTCCCCCACAGAAACCCACTGAAATCCCCAAAAAGTAAGTTTTGTCATCAAGAGAATTAGGACAGAGCCTGAAGTGCTCCTCTGGCTTGGGCTGCACACACCAGTCTTCAGCACAGGAAAGGAGATTTGAAATGATCCTGCCCAGGATCGAGAGTTAGGACTTTTTTTTCATTTTTTGATTACTAAAACCAAAGATTTTGGATGTTAATTTTTCAGTCTGACAGTGCATATGAAATCAAGTCTTCAGTGAAACAAAAACCTTAGCAGTTTTGAAAGGTGGTCTGGCATTAGACAAGTATGTATTGGTATGTATTTGCCCTGCTTTATCCTATTCTATGTGATTGTAAAATTGAAGAGGACACTAGGATTGAAAGACAGGAAAATATCTTCATTGTAATGTAACTAACTTTTCTGAATTCAGAGAATAAAATCCTTTTCACCAACTTTGGTTCTTCCATCATGTGCAACCTTTACCTTTTTTTGCTTCAGGGTAAAATTACCACAGCTGTTCATTTAGCTTTCTTTACAGACAGTTTCACTTTGCAGTTCTTTCAAACCATCAAATTGAGTATCAAATTTTAGTTTGTTTTCAAACAGGGCAGCCAGCCTTTGATTAGTTTATTCTTAACTATATAAAATAAAACTATTCGGATGCATATACAACTATTTTAAAATCTCAATACCAGCTATGTAATGGTAGCTATTTTTTGTTGTTTAAATACGCTACCTGTAAACTACTCTAAGTCTCATTGAAGCAATCCCAAAAATATGAGTAGCGTTTGAATCAGCCCTTCCTACACAAATTAACACTTTTTGACATGGATAACTGGGAGGGACCAAGCTAACACCAGTAGTCTTGGCATTCCTTGATAGAAGAGAGTTTTGTCCAGCTGTGGATTAAGGGTGAATTACAGGAAATCTGCGCTGATTTAAGTGCATGATAAATGAGAAGATCTTCAAGGCTCTTGTGAAAGATAAACAGTTATTTTTGAAAGTCTGGGTAATTTAAATTTCTCTTCAAAAAGAAAAAGAAGAGCTGTTTCAGAACAATCAGTCCCAAAAGGCCGGTCATGCATCCCCATGGCCTCTGCATTCTCTGAATTTTATGCTGCAATTATCAGATTGTCAAGACGTCCCAGCTCTGCTTGATTAAGTCCTCTTTAAAGTATTAAGGCTATTTGCAACTACTTAATGATCCTTTCAGGTACCAACACTGTCAAGACTTTCTTTAATTTTAAAAGCCTTGATCTTTAGAGCTAAGATGGGATCAGAGCCTCTCCCATTGCGTTGCTCCAGCGCTTCAACGTTGGCGGGCCAGAGTTTCTGAATGATGCTCCCCGTTCTGTGCCCTGCACAGAACTGAATATCATGCAAG